CCGGTTATTAGAGAAAAACTGCATAATTTGAGTATTTTTCTTTCCCATAAATACTTTTTATAGATAAAGTATTTGTAATGATTTTTGGATATGTTTATCAGACTGCAACTGTCTACATTAAAGTCAAACATCTTTGTAAAATTCACTTCCGGTTGCGTGATTTCCTGTCCTCAAAATGAGAAGTTATCATAACTAGATCTTGTAAAGGGTAAAAGATTAAGACACCAAACTTATACGAGTGATAGACCTTGACGAGTAAGCAAACCCATTTGGGTTTCCATTGTCAGCCGTCACTTCCGTTTGTCACAGGAAGTGAACAAATAATTCAAAAATTTCATTTTTTATGGAATCTTTCTTAGTAATACATTTTAGCATCTTATTTGTAGTTTTGAAATATGTCAGTACCACTGGAAACAAAAACGACTACTTCCGGTTATGAGAGAAAACTGCATAAATTTAGTATCATACTATCCCATAAATATCTTTTTATAAAAAGAGCATTTGAAATGATTTTAGGGCATGTTATTCACACTAAAATGTATAGAGTAACGTCAAATATCTTTTCAAAAACTTACTTCCTGTCACGTGATTTTTTTTTTATAACATTACGATATCTCTTAAACTGTAACAGATCAAAACACTAAACTTATACATGTATGAATAATATACCATGAAGAAAGGGCAACAGATATACAGTAAAATGCGTTCACTGTCACTTCCGGTCGTCACAGAAAGTGATAAATAAATATAAAAAATGATTTTTGTAAATGTAATTCAGACAGTACACTATAATTGTCTAAAGTAACGTCGAGAATCGAATCTTGGTAAGTTACATCTCCGGCCGTTTGTTTTCCTGAAATCATTTAAAATATTAAATGCCTTTTTAACATAGATAAAAGCTCATTCATACAGATAAATAGAGGTGAACGGAAGACCTTCTTTGTTGCTGTAGCAACAAGAGTTTCTAGTTTTGTCTTACTGTTATGTGATATGAAAAAGTTGATCTGTTTGATATATCTAATTGATATGTTTTACTTTTCATTTCAAACAGAGCTGATGGCAAAGATAAAGAAAGCCAAAGAAACCAAAGAATCGCAGGATTCTGATGTCGAGGATACGGGGGGTGGGGGAAGTGAGGAAGAAGACTGATTTAGGGGGAGGGGTGTGTGAGGAGGAGGACTGATTTAGGGGGAGGGGTGTGTGAGGAGGAGGACCGATTTAGAGGGAGGGGTGTAAATAGAAAGACTGAGAGTGAAGTGGAAAGGAAGATTGATTGGAGGGAGGTGAGTAGGACTGAGGAAGAAATGAAGAAAGGACTGAGGGGAGGGGAAAGTAAAGGGGACTGTTGTTTTAGGGGTTTAAAGAAAAAGACTAAGTGGGAAGGGCATTAAAAGAAGGACTGAAAGGGAAAGTGAAAAGAATGAACTAAGGGGTAGGGGAATAAAGAAGATGACTGATTAGAAAGGGAGGGGGTAGTGAACTAAAGGTGGAGGACTGTGTGAAATGAAGAGGCAGCGGGACAGAACAGGAAGAAAACAAAAGGCAGTGGATGTGTAGACCCAGTGTTACTGAGACACATTGAATTATTGAACAGATGATATTTATTCATGATGTAAAACATCAATATTTACCAACCCGGATAATTAAAATGCTCAATAAAAGACACAAAGGTGCTTGCTTTCTGTCATTTTATTGAACTGAGGAATAGTTAATGCTGAAACTTTAGATATATCAAGCATAACCATTGTCTGAACTTTTTTTTCTAATCTTACAAAGTTGCTCATTATGTCTGAAAAAAAAATTAGATGAAAAGATATAAAGTTTAATGTTTACTGACGTTTTTTAAACTAATTGTTAAGCAGTTATTTACAAACTGAATTATTGAACTTTCCTTTCATGACAAGAAGCACATGGAGGGTGTGACCGGTCAGCAGGGGATGTTCACTCCTCCATGGCACCTGATTCCACCTATGATGTTTTAGAGGTCTGTGTTTGCTCTGCTCTGATTTTTAAAGCGCTAAGCGCAGCGCAAAGCGCTTTTCTGTCACCGTAAATTTACTTCCGTTCTGGTTCCAGCGCCACTATATAAGCAAGATAGATAACTCTACTTGTTATTCTAAAAATATGAAACTGGAAGTCCCTGACTCTCTTTCGGCTATTTTAGTGTAATGCTGCGATACGTGCATTTCTAATAATAGAAGGCAATTAGTATGGAGAGCAGTTCTTATCATCATGTCGGTACACATTAATTTGTACCACGTAGCTTACAACTGCTGCCTCTATGGCGCAAATACTGAATTAAAAAACAGTTTATTATTTATCATGTACATGCAATATAGTGATTGAATATTCAATACGTACCCGGTATACGTACATGGTTTAAAACTCAGATGGGATTTTGATAAGTTTATAAATCTCAAACTGGGAGTGAGTTATTCAGAAGAAGAAATCACATAAAATTGATTTACAATGTACTACTTACATAATATGGTACGTTCTATATATCCATATAAACTATAATTATTTTTTTTCTTCTTTACAATTATTTCAGGCAATGTAACTAGAACAAGCCTTTCTATTAACATCTTGCACCATGCTGAGATTTATCAGTGAAGTTGATTTTCGCAACTAAGTATCAATTAGTAACAGACGGGAATGCATTCAAGGACGGTTTTTTTTTAATCGGTAGAGTCTATAACTTAACCAGTCAGGCAGTTCGGAAAAACAAATTCCGGTATGGTTTTTCAGTTATTACAATGGTTCTAATATCGAGCCCGATGTGTCATTACAAAATTAAGCGGGTAACAAAAAGATGGCGGAAAAGCGAAAGGCCTCCTGAGCCTACAATATTGATTGTAAGTACAAAGTATGATGAATGGATTAATTTTTAGATGTATTCTATTGCCTATGAAGTTTTGAATTTCACTGTCATAAATACATTTCTCTGAAATACGGTGGAGTTGCCCACAGGCAACCAAGCCTACTTACTGTGTGATACTTGTTGCATAGTGGTCCAGTACAAGACTGGAGAAATCGGTAAAGGATAAGCGGTAGAATTTTAGGATGAATGGGTTAATTAGGTTGGGTACAGATCCTTGTACTAGGAAGTATTACTAAAGAACGGGATTATTCCTCTTTTCAGTAAGAAAAAACATCACTGTATACGGAAATTTTCCTCATATTTTTAAAATAATGCCCCAAATCCGTTTCTTGAATAAAAATTGCATGAAAAATACAATGTGATGTGTTTAAACTTTCTTTAACCAACCTCGCTGACAAAAAAATTTGGTTCTTTAGTGCTGCATACAGGAGTAAGATGAGATTTAATCATACGGTATCATGAGTATTCTGCAAACGGATGTGAATATTTCCCTTATATGGTTGTATGTTCGTTCTGCCTAAAATTTGTTTGCCCTTGACACCTTTCGCCCTAATCCTCATTCGCCCAGAGTCCGATCGCCCTAAAACTTGTTCGCACAGGGTCCGTTCGCCTTATTTATATTGCAGAAAGTTGAATAAGGAACCAGTGGACTTTTTAAATAAATTATATGTACATTGGTACATAAAATGAGGCTGTACATATAACTTGATTTTATGAAATCCAGAAGGTATTGAAGCAAATTTCAGTTAGAATCTACTATTATATGGAGATAGAATAATGGAATGAGGAAGAAGTGCTACATAAATTGCACACGGGAGACAACAAAAAAAAAATACAGTAGCAACATTTGAAAGAAAACACCAAGTCGTAAAATATTGAATATAAAATAAATAATAAATGTTAATATATACTATATACTGTAAATACATTAGGGCGAACGAGATATATGGTGAACGAGATATAGGGTGAGCAAGAATAATGGTGAACGGACCCTGCATGAACAAACTCAAGCGAACAGGTAGATTAGGGGAACGAACATGATACCCCCTTATACAAGTTATTATTTGTTCAAATACCGAAAATTTCCTAGCTTGGTTTCGTGGAGGTGACATCTTTTGAACATGCTTAGGAATTTAAACTCACGTGCAGCAGTAATCCACGACTTTTACTTTAATTTTCCATGTTGAAAAATGAATTTTGTAATGGCATTCATGCTAAAACCCTCTTTACAAGACTCTGTTTTAAAATTTAATATTTTAAACAATTATTTTCATGTGTAAAAGAAGCAGTGGTATAAAAAATAATTTTTACGATGTCTTTGAAAGAAATGATATAAAATTAAATTAGAACGAATAATTTGATGAACGAGTTAGCAAGTGGTAAACGTATTCAATCTCACAATTTTAACACAGATAAGCTTCCGTAAGAAATTTATATTGTAGAAATATTTAATAACTGTTTTTCAGCATTTTGCAGCAATAAATATTGTAGTTTTTAGTATACAATACATACACTTAATAGACTATAAATATTTAGAGGATTTGAAAATATTCTTGCACTTAATCTGTTAATCAAATCAAACATAAGAATAGAGGGTAAACAAGTGAAAATGCCCGTATATGGTAAGGTTTTTTTTTATTACTGAAAAGAGGAATAATCCCATTTTATAGTAATAGGTTCTCTGAAATATTGTGGAGTTGTCCACAGGCACCTTAAGCGTACATATTGAGTGATACTTGTTGCATAGAGGTTCATCACAAGACGGGAGAATTCATTAAAGGATAAGCAGTAGAATATTGATTGTAAGTACAATGGGTTAATTTTTAGATGTATTCTATATATTATGAAGTTTTTAATTTCACTCTCATCAATACAGGTTCTCTGAAATCTGGTGGAGCTGGCCACAGGTACCTCAAGCATACAAACATGTATTGTGTGATACTTGTTGTATAGAGGTTCGAATCGGCACAAAGCGGAAGACGTAACTAAATGAGAAGCAGTAGAATATTGATTGTAAGCACAAAGTAAGATGAATGGGTTAATTTTTAGATATATTCAATATATTATGAAGTTTTTAATTTCACTGTCATCAATACAAGTTCTCTGAAATCTGGTGGAGCTGGCCACAGGTACCTCAAGCATACATACATGTATTGTGTGATACTTGTTCTCTGAAATCTGGTGGAGCTGGCCACAGGTACCTCAAGCATACATACATGTCGTATAGAGGTTCGAATCGGCACAAAGCGGAAGACGTAACTAAATGAGAAGCAGTAGAATATTGATTGTAAGCACAAAGTAAGATGAATGGGTTAATTTTTAGATATATTCAATATATTATGAAGTTTTTAATTTCACTGTCATCAATACAGGTTCTCTGAAATCTGGTGGAGCTGGCCACAGGTACCTCAAGCATACATACATGTATTGTGTGATACTTGTCGTATAGAGGTTCGAATCGGCACAAAGCGGAAGACGTAACTAAATGAGAAGCAGTAGAATATTGATTGTAAGCACAAAGTAAGATGAATGGGTAAATTTTTAGATATATTCAATATATTATGAAGTTTTTAATTTCACTGTCATCAATACAGGTTCTCTGAAATCTGGTGGAGCTGGCCACAGGTACCTCAAGCATACATACATGTATTGTGTGATACTTGTCGTATAGAGGTTCGAATCGGCACAAAGCGGAAGACGTAACTAAATGAGAAGCAGTAGAATATTGATTGTAAGCACAAAGTAAGATGAATGGGTAAATTTTTAGATATATTCAATATATTATGAAGTTTTTAATTTCACTGTCATCAATACAGGTTCTCTGAAATCTGGTGGAGTTTCAAGCGTGGCTATTGTACTCGTTTTATAGATCAGGTGCAACACAATGTTTTGATTAAGCTATATAGGTTCAGAATAGGTTGAAGAAATTTTAGATACCTTAAAATAGATGTAAAAGTCTTTATTTTTCAGGGTTTGTTAGATAACTCCTCTAGGCTCTAGCGCATGTGACAACTCCATTGAAACAGCACAGGAATAGCTCGAAATAAAATGGAAGTTGAAACTGACAGGTATCAAAGAATTATACACCAAAGCATATGCTACTTAAATTAATAATTAACCCCCCCCTCTCCCCTGCAAATGAAGTGCAGGGCAGTAAATAGGAATTAGTCCATCTGACACGAGTCATGATTTTTTCTCTTCATTTTTTCCTAATTTTTTTTTAATGGAGGTAGGTTCAGTTTCTCCATTTAATGGCCCTTCTGTCAGTATTGCAAATAAATCTATTAAAATGTCCCATTTCAAACATCAATATAATCTGAGACTTAGTGCTTTCATTTCCTATAAATAAAAAGTTTCCTCTTAGAGAGCAGGTTACGTAAAACAGGTATTGTGATATTGCAATGTTCTTAAATTGAGCACCTTAAGCAAAGATAGTATGAGCCCACCCCTCGATTCAGAAAATAAGACATGGATTATATTTTTATTAAACAGATTTTTAATTATGTATTTGAAGTTTTTGATCAGAGGATTGGCTTAAAGCAAAATACTGAGGAACAGCTTAAATTTTTGGTCATTTGTGAAGAAATTCTTAGGATATGGAATAATGATATTTGTTGATGTCATGATACATGTAGATGGACTAGTAAGAAAATCATTTTATTTTTATGCAATCACCAAGAGTCCAAATGAATTTAATGCATTTTAAACTAAAATTGAGCAATTTAATTTTTTTCATAAATTCACAGGGCCCAAGAAGGCTTTAAGTGAACCTTGTTATTGTACATTATCCCAAGTAAAATGCCTCTGGGATCATGTCTCCACATTCCCTTTCATATTGAGTGTTATAGTACAGAAATTCTTTGGATAATGCTTTTAAACCTTTTTTGGCCACAGGTTACTAGCAGGGTCACTTAGGAGACCTATGGGTGTCTTTCTTGTCCATTCAATTCAATTCAGTTTATTGACATCACCGTGTTGGCATACAGTCAAAATAAGAAATTAAATGACAGATACATGTAACAGAAAAAAAAGAAGAAAAAAAAAGAGAAGAATGTTATAACCTAATTGCATGCAGTTCAATTTTACACAGTTCCTCATAGACCTTGGCATTGTTTCCTCTGTATAAACCATTTATCTAAGTAGATACATAAACGTTTGTAGTATTATATTCACATGGGTTAACAATTTCTTTAATGGGATCAGTACCACAGTATAATTTATCATCAAAAATATCACAATATTGAAATCGAAGATTGTCATTCACAGGACAGTAAAGTACAAAATGTTTTTCATTTTCAACCAATAATTTACAAGCATAGCATAAACGTTTTTCCTTAGAGATTATTGGTTTACAGTATCTACCTGTTTCAGTGAATAGTGAATGTGCACTGATTCTTAATTTTGTTAGCTGTGATCTTTCATGCTCTTTTAAAGGAAACTTTAATTAATCCTGCAATTTATAATCAGTACAGTTTAAGATTTTACTATAAAAATAAAGTTTTCCTGAGTTAGAAGATGAGATTTTGCTCAATTGTTCAAAGGTCATATCAACAAAAGTTTTATTTAACTTAAACCTCAAATCCTTATGGGAAATGTTTAAAGAAGTCAAGTTTAGTTTTTGTTGAAGATTGAAAATCTTGCTTTGCCTTGAAGTATAACCCTTTTTCAGAGCTAACTCTTTGTCCTCTTTGAAAGCTGATAGTAAAAGTGCATTATTATATGTGGTATTTGATTCCATATTCCTTAATCTGATATAATTAAGGAATCTGATATAATATTTAAACATGTTTTCATAACATAAATAGTAAAGTGGATAAGAACCTAGTTCAGCATTGACTGCTAAATCTGATGCTTTTCTATATGTACACCTAGAATATCTTTGAGAATATGATTTTGAATTTTTTCAAATGGAAAACATTCTGAAGATTTAATATCTGATTTATAGTCTGTGATCCATATTTCAGATCCATATGTTATAATTGGAATAATCATTGAATTGTATAGTTTAGTAACACTTGAACTGAAATATTGTTATTTCCAGGTATACTTGATTTCAATGCATAATATGGCTTTTAAGCACATTCTTAAAGTTGCTCTGAAGCAAACTTAGTTTTCCATTTGATGTAAACACAAGTCCTAAATATTTATATTGGTCTGTTATAGGTATAATGCTTAAAATAAAATCCATAGTGATTTTTGGAAACATTTGCTACTTTTTCTCTGAGACTGCTGAACCAATTTTTTCAAAGTATTTGTAAGGGAATGGTATCAAAAATAAAAATTTCCTTGTCTCTTTCTCTCTGTGCACGAGGGGAATACATGTAAGTAAAATCATCAGTATTAATGCACTATCCAAAATTCTTCACCACCTTTATCAACAAGCTGTTAAGCTTTTGGTTTTATTATAATAATCAATGGGACTTCTACCAAAATTACAAAAAACAAAAACAATGTTCTATTGAGAGTCTATTGCACATTGTTCCTTATATTCCTTATGCTATAGCTTAGAGTAGCGAATATATAGACATTACAATTAGAAACTTGCTAAATTTAATTTTGTTTTATATTGAGGTACAATTGACAGTATAGAATGTATGAAATATTGAATTTTCAAATTGAAGAGCTCAAATGAACTGGATTGCAAATTATTGCCCATCAGCCTCCTGTTTGTAAATTTTTTCTTAAAGTATGAAATGTTCTTTAAAGTATGATATCAATAGTTTATTGATCTACATGTATTTGTATTTCATATTACTGCAGATACTTTTCCTGGGAAGATTTATTTGATGGGAAAACATCATCGTTATCCGGTTTTGTTACTTCCTATACAAAACTTGAAAAGTTAATAGAGACCTATGAATGTGCAACATCCTCACGATACCGCACCTTAAAAAGTTCCAAACACTTTGGAAAGAAGATAGGTAATTTTTTGATATTAAAATATTCCAGTACTTTAAGGTATGAAGGGTCATCCACACACCCCTAGCTTATGTTTCCATATTACTGAGCATTAGTTTTAAGAAGTATATCTACCTTTATGAACTGGCCAGGAATAGGAATACAATTTATATTGATTTGTTAAAAATTTAATTTCATAAGTTTAAAGCTATTTTTCCCATCCATTTTTGCTTAGTAGCACATTAAATTTTGTGTATTTCCTGGCATGTACATGTACCGGTATTAAGCTCACAAAACAACCACAAAAATTTGGTTTCATAAGTCTACATATTTTTCTTACATTTATAACACTATTAAAAATAAATAAAACTCGTATCTTCTAAAATACATGGAGATAAAAATTAGGAGGACTCCAGAGAGTATAGAAGAACCACAAATCAATAAAATTAGAAGAAGAAAATGAAATTAAATCCAGTAAATTGAGGAAGAAGTATTATTTTATAAATCTTTTGTATCTAAGTTCTATTTTAGAGTTACCTTTCCTGTTAGCCAGGACTCTAAAAGTTTGATAGGTCTCTGCATACATCATCATATCATTGGCAAGAGATCTGGACAGATATAAATGAACAACTGGAAATGTTCACTATTTATATAATAGTGTTTTTCTTTGCATGCACTATGCCTAAATACATGTAGTAGTCAGGGTTTGACACATGGTGCACGAGACGGAGGCGAGTGCAGTATGTGTCAAACCCTGACTACTATTTAGGCATAGTGCATGCAAAGTACAACACTATTGTTATTATTATGCTGACTGTTGAATAAAAACGGCAATATTTTCTCCATTTTCAATGTTTCATCACATCTTACATTCATGTTAGTACACCCCTATTATGCTATTTGTACGTCATAGGCTTTTTTCTTTAATTTTGAATGTTTCATGCATTAGGTATAATGTACAGCTAGTTTCAGAGAATTTTAGTTGAGTGAAGGGGAAATTGCAAGAAACTATTTCAGAAAAATTATTTTGTTTATTTTTTTTCTTTAATTGTGAAATATTTGAAACTAAGTTTATATATATTATAATTCAGTGTTTTAGATAACGGTGTCTGTGGCGTAATTGATAGTGCGTCGGACAGACAATATTGGGGTCGAGAGTTTGATCTCTAGCATGGGCGCTGTGGAATTTTCTTCAGAAAAAGAAGCAGTGCACTATTTCGGCCTAGTATGCTTACGCTATATAAATCCTTTGAACACTATGCCATAATAGTTTGGTATTGATTATATAGAGACAAACTGACAGGAAGCATAATACTTATTAATATTAATATAGGTATTATTGAAAGGCACGGATCAGTGTGCACAAGTGTTAACTTTCACTAAATACTTTGTTTATGACATCTTACTGGAGATTTGTCTGAAATTATAAATAGATATACTTCTTATAAACAAATAATTATGCTACAAAACTCGGTCTGCTGTTCTTTTATTGGAAGAAATTGACACTAATTTTTAGTATAAACGTGATTATGCCATGTAATCATTGTTTCTTATTAGGGTTTCTCTTAGCTTACTTCATACCTTTTTCCTTGACAAATGCTTGTTCTTTAAAGCGTTTGTAAAACTGTCTTGCAGGCAGTGCCAAAGAAGTCATAGAGCATAAACAATAAGAGTAAATTTTCTCGACATTCATCATAAGTCATGGGGAGTGGATGACCCTTAACTGTTATAGTGTTGTTTTTTTGTTTTTTGTTTTTTTTTGGTTTTGTTTTTTTTTTTTGAGAATTTTTACTTGTGAAAATGTTGTATACAGATTAAATCTACCTATAAGAATCACCTTGTCCATCTTGGTACAAAAATTTTTTTTTTGACATGCACAATGTTGAAACCCAAACATGAGCATATAAAATAAACACAATTTTGTCTCGACTGTAACTTTGTTATGAAGAAACACTTGAAGTATTTAGATTTCTCATGACCCAAGAGAGTGTCATAACCTTGATTCAGTGTGTCATGAATGATTCAAGGTTATTCTGGCAGGTTCAAGGTCACATTGCAAAAAAAATTAAAATGTTTTGTCTGGGCCATAACTTTATAACGTAATGAAGAAATACTGGAGGCTCCATCCCTCCATCTGTGAACTTTCCATTTTTCATGTTCTCAAGAACCTGCAGACCTATTTTAACCAAAATTGGTAGAGGCATCCTTGGTTGAAGGAAAAATTAAATTTTGAAAATGAAAGAACAAGCCCCCTTCTGAGGGTTGATAATCAAGAGAAGGCTGAAATAGGGTGTTGTCATTAGAAATTGAAGAACCATTGGGCCAGAACAAGTTATATGGAAGCTTTCAGAGGTAGTGTAGAGGTAGTGTTCTAAATTGTTCATGGAAGTAACCAGATATAGTGTAGATTCAAGCATGTTCAAATCAGGACCCCCACAGGTTGATGATCACTTGAACCACTTGAAGGGAGAGGTAAACATACATGTATATAATTTTCTTTATTCAGTAGACTAGGCACTAAATTTTATAATAATGAACTCATAGTTTTATATGTATAAGTCTTTGACCAAGTACAGTATATATTCATGTTTTATTTGTTATTCAGGCATCATGTACCTTACAACCCATGGATAAACGTCTATCCGACTACATCAAGAGGGTAGTAGCAGAGTACGGTGTAACCAGTACCATTAAAATGAAGTTGTTGTTAGAAGTGTTTTTGAAGGAGTCCATTTTTAAAGATACTTTGCCGCCAAAGCACAACAAGAGATTTTGGCCATCCCTCAAAGATATATACAACCGGATGGCATCTCATATGCTAAAAATAAGAGACAGCTGCATTGATCAGGTGCAAATATATACATGTATATGTGTGTGGGTGGGGTGTGTGTGTTTGTGTGTATCCTTCCCTTGCTTCATTACATTTGAAATATTAAATGTTACTGAATTGACTGAAATTTTCAGATACAGGTAATCATATGTT